AAACAGTCAGTAGAGTATTCTCACTTTAGAAATTTGTTTTGTCACTCTTTGTTGGTTCTTCATGCATATTACATATGCAGGTTGAAGAGTTGGCTTTTCTTATTAAAGACAACCTTCCTTGCAAGCACCTCGTTCTGTCCATGGAAGAGGCACTGATCAATTTCCTTCAGGATGATACAAGGTATCTTATGTGAATGTTTTGAAATAGATGTTTGGAGAGAACTATGTAGTTATTCACCAGCATAGGTTTCTAATTTTTGACATGTAACTAAATTCCAGTGAGAGTAGGAAGATGCATCTGATAACACTATATCGAGCACCATAGGTTTCTAGATATCATTTGGAGCAAAGACTTTGAAGTAAAAGAGGAAGAGTTACTGGTTTTGCTCTTACAGATTTCACTTCTCTTATTCATAAATTCAGTGCAACTGGTTGCCCCTGGTTCCTGCCCTGGGCAAATTTTCTTTCATTTCCTTTTCCTCTGAAACATCAAATAACTTCTTACTATACTAGACTGTCATGTTTCTAAACCAAATCTTTTGTGATCACGTCTGCTATATGTCATCCTAACCATGAAGTTTTATATTTTCTTTATCCATCATAACAGAAAATACACACTTGCATATTGCAATAGCTACTCTTCTCAATCCATATATGAGCGATCACTTGACCAAATTCTCAATCTTTTAGCTTGCAATGTAGAAATACTTAGTACCGTTAAATATGCTTTTAACATGCATAATTGCATTCTACGCAGATTAGATGGGGAGCTGGAACTTGAACCAATGAATCCTTATAACCGCCTGCTCATACATCGCCTTGCTGACATTTTTGGGTATTTGTGCTTCAGAAGTTATTACTGGCTTTATCGATATCTTTCACTGCATATGTGCTGGGACGTCTATTGAAAATAGTATATAAAGCACATCATTGGTTCAGTGACATATGATAGATATAATGATTGTGTTGTCATGCTAGATTTTCTCATCATTCAGTTGGTGAAGGAGATGAGAGACACTTAATTTTGAAGCGTTGCTCAGAGACGTCAATGTAAGTGAAAGCCAATTATTTATTGCTGAAACTTTATCTATACATCTATAGTTCGTGTCAGATAAATTGGTGTATTTATTGGATCCTTGCATATTTTATCTTTATATTTATTAATTAAAATTATGCATGAAGAATTAAACCTAAACTAAAATTTACTTTTCTTAAATATCTCATAAAAAGGACCTGATAAATTCTGTTTCTGTTAAAATTAAGAAAAAAATTTCTTTAAAATTGTGAGGTCTGAATTTCATTAATGGCTTTGATGGGACAGTTGTTTAAGTTATTTTATACATTGGATTGAACTGCAGACCTTCGATCTTTGTGAGCGATCTCCTATGGCAGTACGATGACGTGCAATTTCCCATGAATATTGTTGTATTAAGACGGAAAGAAGTTCAACCAGGTAAATTATATTTTCCGGCAAAGTAATGCTAAGTGATGTAAAGTGAATTTTTCTTTTTATTGTATGGAATCAGTCACTGGTGGTATCAAGAATTCATAATACTATTGGAACATATAACTGACATCCTCTCTGCTGTTCAAGTGATTCTGATCTTCAAAAATATAAGCTAACTTTTTATCTGCCAAAGAACTCTTGGGAAGTTAGTAATGATATTATGCTTTGGAACCACCTTCCTAGGTAAGTGAAGAAGAATTCTAAAATGGAAAAAAGAAAGGGGGTGGGGGTGACTTAAACATCCATGTTTGGTCATTTTCACTAGAGGAATTAAGTCATTAAGCCCTTGTTTGAGCCACATTATTTTCCTTAGAATGCATTTTTGAATAGTGTATTGATGGGAAATGTGTAGTTAAAAAATAAAGAAAAGTTTTGGATTTGTGGGTAATATTATTTTATTAAAGAATGTGTGGTTAAAATGATGTCAAATTACTGTTTAAGAATGTATTTTTTTGAAAAAAAATGCGGTTCCAACATGGCCTAAGATTGCTTCTCTTGGTGAAGCAGATATATTGATAGATTTCAGAAAAAGCGTTGGATCCAGAATCTCTTTTGTTGTTTTCCACGAAGTAGCTTTGTCTAGCACCCCAAATATTGGAAGCTAAGGTCACTTCACGATGCTAAACAAAGGTGTACGAAATGGATGAATGATCAGAGCATTGATAAGAGAATTGATAAAAACTCTCAAAGGCAAATGTGTATTGGGTAAAATGATTAGTAACTTGTAAGGAGTAGTAGTGGGTCCCACGGCATGTGTGGACAACAAAAGGGTAGTATTTATGAATGTGGACTTGAAATTAATATTTGACTTGAATTTATAAGTTACTTATTAGTATACCCAAACATAGGCCAAGTCTTGTGTTCACGAAATATTCCTTTTCGATTTTAAAACTCACCGCAAGTGTACGGTTCGTTAACAAGTAATAAAATGGATTATGAGTCTAAGTATCGTTCCCACGAGGATTGAATTAGCTCTAATTAGACTAATGTGACCTTAACCGAATCTAATTGAATGAAAATTTGGTTTAAATGTGAAAAGCCCTAATTCTGGAAGAAATCCCCAATTTGAAACCCTAATTGCAAAGAAAACCCTAATTTCGAAATTTCACTAATCGAATTAAATAAACACGCAATTAAAATGTAAATATGCAATTTTATCACAAATATATTGAAATGAATCGAAATGAAATCATTAAGAACTTGAATCCCCAATTGACTATTAAAAACCCTAATTTCACAAATTCAACGAATCGATGGAACAAAATGCCAATTCAATGTTCCTAAATTATCCAATACACTCTCTCGATATATATTGAATCTACTCTTACACACCACCAGCCTATATTTCTATGGATGATACAATGTATAAGAATGCATGACTTTTTATGAACATCTTCATGAATTGCATAAAGCATAGAGATAAGTTTCCATCCCCTATCGGATCCTATGTCAATTTATATTCTATCGAATTTATTCCCCTTCTTTCGAATGCAAAGAACAAATCATCTACAATCACATAACAATTGGCCAAATAATTATGGAAGCATTCAAATCATATAAATCAAACATTTGTCCAACGAAACTATTGTTGAATTAATGAAATAATGGAAATTTAAATCATCAAAAGGTTCATCAAATTCCTAATGAACAAAAATCCTAGCCTATCATATTTTGAAGAAAATTACAAAAGTTCAATAAAGGAGAAGACATCACCCTATTATAATTGTTGCTTGGAATCTTCAATCTTGATGAAACCCTCCTTCTTCTTGCATAAATTCTTGGATCTTGATGTTCTTGTGTGCCTCTTTTCTCCCAAAAATGTCTACTCTCGTTCTGGACGTGTTTTAGGGTATATATAGCGTGTCCAATTTAGGTAAGAAAGGAGTTAGAGTCGAAAAAGGAAACTGCAGAAAACCTCCCGAAGTTTCTTCTATGCGACCGCATAGAAGAAACCTATGCGGTCGCATAGGTCATTTGAGTTGCCCAATTTTTTTCCCTGTATCCATCTATGCGACCGCATAGATGGTTACACTATGCGGTCGCATAGATGTAACAAACTATGTGGTTTTTACATTTTGGTCCCTGAACTTCCTTGTTGCTTCTCTTGACTTCTTTCTTCGATTTCTTCATCTTTTCAACAAATTTTATCTTCCAATTGATGATTGATACCATCAATTCTCATGCCCCTCATTCAGCACATCTTTTGAGTATTTGCGCTTTAGTCCTCCAACTTTCAATTGTCTTCATTTCAGTCC